GCATCAAATTTGTGCTTGGTACCAAAGTGATGACCGACCATCGTTTTTCTCATAGTTATAGCGTATACTATGACGGCGGTATATAAGACGGTACACTATAGAAATATGGGTATGCTTGGTACCAAGCATAAAAAGTTATACTTGGTAGTAGTGTGTCAAATCCCCCTCCACTTATTTAAATGTGAGAACAAATTCACATGTGTAGTGAGTGGATGAGGATGTGACACATCACTGTTGACCCTATAGTTTTGATGATGATTTGACAAACAATTTATTACTAATAAGTTTTCTAGTGTTTTGTGTTTATGTTCTTTTTTCAGGTATTTCAACACGCGTTAATCAAGCGTTAAAGATTCAAGTTTATTTGCGTGGATTTACCTCGTTAAAGATTCAAGTTCATTTGCGTGGATTTACCTAGGTATATGTTTAGTTTACTTACATATATAGTATGATTATATCTAAGCTCAATATATACACTTAACACGATTTTTGACGTTTTCTATCATATAGATGATTTTTCATTAAACGTTGTTAAAATACTTTATCTCATGTTTACAGCTCCTTCATACTTCACTATATACATATATTATATGCACAATATATATATGAATATTTACAAGTCCTATATCAAAGTTCACTTTCATAAAAATTACAGGTTTTCTAAGCATTCTTCAAAAACAGGTAGTTTTCACAAACGAAAATTAATTTTCCAGAAATTCTTTTTAAACATGTTTATTTTATCATTTAGAAACTTTCCCCAAAGTTTCATTATTTTTGAACTTGATTTGACATTTTTTTTGGATTTTCAAACTAGTCCCAAAACCTGTATATTTACATATATCAGAATTCGGTCGACTGGTACGGTCGACCGACTGTTGTTCCGTTTCTGAGTAAACTTCCAGAGAGCCCTCCGGTCGACCGGAATTTATATCGGACGACCGAAATTTCCATTCGGTCGACCGTTTTTTCCGTCGGTCGACCGACAGCTTTAATTCCCCGTTTTCTGAGTTTTTTGAACTAAGCGGTCGACCGGACCGGTCGACCGCCGAGTTGTCAGAAAGAGACTAACGGCTAGTTTTTTCAAATGGGTCTTTTGGTATTTTACCTATTTCTAGCTGTAGTATTAGGGTGCTATATATACCCCATTGCTGCTCTTCCTCATTAAGATCCAAGAAATCCAAGTTTGTTGTTTAACAAGTTATTAATCGCGTTTAAGAGATGTTTAAGAGTTGTTTCATCAATCTATTTTCAAGAGAAGTTTTTCTACAACAAGAAGAGGCTTTCAAACCCTATTGGAATCATCATTTCTTCAGCATAGCTTGTTATTTCACTTTCAATTGATTAAGCTATATTCATTGAGTTATATTTATTGAGTTTCATTCACTATTATCACACACACTTATTGAGCTTTATATTCTCATATTATATTGTGGGTTGTGGTGTGGGTTTAGTGAGTGTGAGCTTCATTGAGTTCTCACTTGTTATTTGAGAACAAATCATTGTATTTAACTTTTATTTGTGAGAATCACTTGTAATACACTTGTACACCGAGAGAAGTGTGAGGAGAGAGAGACGGGGTCAAATCCAATAGGAGTGGCGTCGATTGACGAACCTAGAGAGAGGTTATAATCGAGCACTTGAGGAGGAGGACACGTGCTAGGTTCCTACACTTAGTGTGTAAAGTATGATTGTTGAGTGATTGTGTAGTGTGAGAGTTTTCGGTGAACTTGTAAACCGAGTGTGTAGAAGTTCCGGCTTCCAAACCGGATTGTGATAGTGGATATCTCCTCGAGGTGAGGAGCGGGGACGTAGGTCGTGGGGACCGAACCTCGTGAACATATCGTGTGTTTGTGTTTTGGTTGGCGTACATATTATTCATCTTTATTGCTCATATTCATATCATATTTATTCTTGCAAGAACAAATTGATCAACATAATTTTAATTGCTATTAATTTGGATTAGATTAGCATAAGACCCTAATCACCCCCTCTCTAGGGTCTAACAATTGGTATCAGAGCTTGGTGCTCTTTGATTTAAGGACTAACCGTCTTGAGTTAAAGATCCAAGTTATTGCATTTGTGCCAATCTAATTTTATTTACATTGTGCTTCTTGCATTTCATCTATATGGATATGTATGATTCATCTTGTTTAGGATATGCTATTAATATTTCTCCTCGTTTGGATAATTTCCCCTATGCTCAATGGCGTATTAGATTCAAACTTTTTGTTCAATCTAATCAATTTGATTTGTGGGAAATTATTGAGGATGGCTATGTTGTTCCCACCTTGGAAAAATCCAAATGGTGTAAGAATGATAAAAGATTGTTTAACATGAATAAGCTTTTGTTAGAATATTTGATTAGCGCTTTTCACTCATCGTTTTCTAACAAACTTGCTAATTTTGATAGTGCTTATGCTTTATGGAAACTTATTGAAGCACATGAAGGAAAATTGGAGGCTATTAAACAAGCGTTGGAAAATCCTGCTTTGAGTTCTAAGGAAGCCTCATCTCCATGTACAATACCACTAGGTGATAACCCTAGTGAGGTATGCGATAACGATGATATTATTACTTTTGATGAACTTGCTCTTGAGTTTGAAAAATTACACAATTGCTATATTGATGTAAAGAGTAAGTATGTTAATATGAAATCCACTCATGAAACACTAGCTACTAAGTTTAATTTTATTGCAAATGAAAATATAATTCTTAAAGAATGCAATGAAAATTTGAAAATTGAAAATGCTAGTTTGCTTCATGAAAAACGTGATGCTATGTTAGAAGTAGATAAGTTGAAATCTATGATGAGTAATCTTGTTTATCCTACTTCTAGTAGCAATGCTTGTATGCACAATGATGAGTTGAATCAAATGAGAAAAAGAATATCTACCTTAGATTCAACACTAAATACTTGTATTGCTAATAATAAAAAGCTTATGGACCATGATTGTGCATCCCATCAAGCTTCTTCATCACATACACATGTACACACACATAGTGTAAATCATAAACATGCTTATGTGTACAAATGTGATTATTGTGGTCGTTTTGGTCATTTGGCCATGTTTTGTTTCGATTTAAAAAGAAATTTTCGTTTGCAAAATAATTACAAAGAAAAATCTATTTTTGCAAATGAACCACGTGCACTCCATTTTGGTCAACGCAAACCATTCAAACCTCTACATTGCACTAATTGCAATCGTATGGGTCACGTTTACAATTTTTGCTTTGATCGTATCGGTGCACAAAATACGCCCAAGCGGGTTCATAACCCTAGGGCCTTGAATTTAAATAATAGGGGTCATGTCCCAAGTTCTAGTGGTACCAAAATGATGTGGGTACCAAAAAGACTTACATAGTATTTTTTTTGGTTTGATTTGTTTTATTGAATAATTGATTTTTTTTTGCTTAAATGACAAATTATATTCTTTTGTCAAAATAAATTATTTATATGTTTTTTAATAGTCAAAATCATTCACTACAAGAAATCTGGTATTTAACGACCAAAATTAGTGAAGGGACCAGTTAACCGTCATTAATATGCATATAATAACGACGGGTTTTAAAGCCTTCGTCAAGTGATTACAAAAATTAGAGAAATGATGTGAGATGTGATAACGGTTTTCTAATCCCTTCATTGATTTGATCCTAATACCGTCATTATTGGGTCTCCTTAAAGATGAAGGGGTCCATTACCGTCATTAATGATACTCCTAATCTTAATAGGACTAATAGATTAACCAATTACTATTAATTAACAAAACCCACAACCAAAATCCCCAAAGCCCCAAGTAGAATCCGAAACCTGAAATCCAAAATCCCCCATAACTACTCCTAATCATCCCTATAACCACCGCAATATTAATTAAACCCTAGTTTTAAAAAATCACCATCGCCCGTCTCCATCTTGTCGTGTGTCTCCTGCTCGTCGTCGGCTCCCACTCGTGGTCGTTCAAGGTCATCGTCGGCTCCTACTCGTCATCATCTCCAGCTTGTCGTCAGCCAATCCAGTTCGACGTCGAGACTCGTCGTCGTCTCAAATTCGTTGTCGGCTCCAGTTCGAAGTCCGGTTCATCATCATCTTCAGTTCGTGGTCGAGATCTCTTCGCCGTCGAGACCTCTTCATCGTCGAGCACCGCCATAATTAAAAACGGGCTTACCACAAGGAAGAGATGGTCGGTGAAAGAGCAAGGACGCGCTGAATCCAAATCCAGAGGTAAAAGAAAGATGATCGCATGGCGGGATTTTCAGCGGATGACATCTCTTATTCTCCTCTTCTAGCTTCAAAACTGCTCGTGTCTCCATCATTTTCAGGTAAAGGTATGTGTGTTTGCGCTGCACTCTACCTGTCTTCAAAACTGCTCGTGTCTCCATCATTTTCAGGTAAAGGTATGTGTGTTTGCGCTGCACTCTACCTGTTCGTTTAAATGCCTCATCTAAATTCTCGATTCACTCTGTTATTTTTCTTAACTTAACTCGAGTACAAGCATCATCGCCTTTGCCAACCTTTAAATTAAGGATGGATTCCGTGTAGATTTCAATTGATTGTAACTTTGATCCTTTTTTTCCTTTTCTTTAAAATTGGTGGTGATAGCTTTTAGGGATTTTATGGTTGTAGGTTAGAAAAGAAAAATTAGGGGACAGAATCACCACACTCCAGCAACTGGTTTCGCGTTTTGGATAGATGATATATGTTTTCCTTCTTCTTTCATCTTTTAGTTTCATTAATTTCCTTGGTTAATTAACTTTGTTATTATATGCAGACTGATACAGCATCAGTTCTTCATAGGCAATTGAATACATTAAGTTCCTACATGAGCAAGTCAGTGTAAGTTTTTTGCTTAATTAATTGTCCTCTTAATTAAGATATAGCAGTTACATTTTGGTTGAAAAATAAAATCAACCTGTTTCTCAATTCTTGATATTTTGTATGATTTTAGCTCTTGAGCTCTCCATACTTGAAGAATGGGCATCCCGTGCAACATCAACAAGTACTATATTATTCATTGTTTTTCTATCCATGTTTCTTTAACAAGAACAAAATAAACAATAGAAGAAAACAAATTAAGCACAAACATGTTTAAATAGTCAAAATTTATTGGATTCTGGAGTATTTAGCATGATGTTCTTAGCCATTCACAAGTAGAGTAGAGGGGCAGTTCCAAATTTATGTTTTGGAACATCCCACTCGTACAAAGAGTGTTCTTATAAGATTTGTGTTTGATTTTGTACACATAGTTCAGAAAAATCCAAGGACGACGAGGGACCAAGGCAGGACCTTAGAAGTAGAGGATTGTGCTTAGTTCCGATAGAAAGCACATATCCAGTGGCCAGTGAGACAACGGCCGATTTCTAGACTCCAACCTTTGGAGGGACTTACAGGTAGAGGAGAAAGGAGCTAGGGTTTTCATTTCATAATTGAGAGTGGTAGATTATAGGAGTTAAAAAAAGCACACATGACTCCAAAAATAACAAAAAAAAGAAAAAAATTGCTAGAAAAAGATAAGGAGAAAAAGAAGGATAAAAAGAATGGAGGAAGGGTGGCCCTTGAAAGACAAAGCTAGTCTGGGACATCTTATAAAGAGGAATGATGAAGGGTTGGCAATTGAGTTTGAGAATAATTAGCATAATTTAATAGTAACAGGTTGCTAAATTTGGTAGAAAATAAGGAGTGTGGATAGTAAACCAAATAGTAGCTGAATTTAGCAATGAGGGGATTGTGGCGTTTGCTCATGTTAATTTGATGTGTGTGTACATTCTCTGAAACGTTAACAGATAACATAAATTCCTACTACATTCTCTCTAACATAAAAATAATGGAGGAAGGGTGGCCCTTGAAAGGGGCTCAGCTGTACTTACACTCACATAAATGCCGTCTCTTATATTATGCATAAAGTTACACGAGTTTTTCTTGGGGCTTCTTCTGTTTTATCAAACGGAACAGTTTACTCAAGAGTTGGAACAACATGTGTTGCTATGGTTGCTCATGCATTCCATATTCCAGTTCTGATATGCTGCGAGGCATATAAATTTCATGAGAGGGTGCAACTAGATTCTATATGTTCTAATGAACTTGGTACGTCTAAACATCTTTGTTTTGGGTTTGTCTTCATCTTTCTTCATTCTTAGTCACTGCTTTGGTGGACATTTCTAAGAAACCTACATTTTTATTCCACAGGGGATCCAGATATGATTTCAAAGGTCACTGGAAGGCAAGAGTTGAATCATCTGGATAATTGGGCTGAAGATGAGAATCTTCAACTTCTAAACTTAATGTAACTTCTTACTTTGCCTATTAAATAATTTACCTGTTTTTTAATGAGATACATTTTGGGAGACCTTATTCTGAAATGTTGTATACAGTTATGATACGACACCTAATGACTATGTATCATTGATTGTTACAGATTACGGAATGGTGAGTAATTTCTACTACTTTCTCAAACTCTGAATCTGTTTCATGGAATTTATGTTATCTGTTAATGTTTAGTGCCTACATTCTCTCTAACATAAAAATATGAATTAATGATTTAGTTATTTAGGAATATAATTAGGGTGTGGGGATAGTTTTCATGCCTTAGTAGGATCACCACGTTCCAACGGATTGATTGGAAGAACAATACAAATTTTCTTGTTGGATAAGATTGAAGGACTTGTTAAAAATAGTTGAATCTATACTACTTCTAAAAGAGAAAACAATTTTCAAAACTTTGTGTTCAGAAAAGTTGGGATGGAAGTGTGCATCCTTGCATCGATTACAACATGGTGTAGTGCCAGATTTCTTGTCCCATATATAAATTTCCATTCGTCACACGATCTTTATCAATAAAATCGGTACTTGCAAGAGTTTTTATGTCTCTATCATGTCTTCAGTGTGGCATGATTTGGAGATAAGAGTATCTGTGCTATATATGTTTCTGTGCATTAGGCAACCTTCATCCGCTAACCCCTGGATTCTGTGTTCAGTTTAATATTCAGCCATGAGAAGCCATCTTTGAACTTAAGTATCAAAGATTAGAGTAAATTCTCAGGAACTAATAGTATAATATTAAAAATCACGGTTTATAGCTGTATTTCTTTATAAAAGCAATTTCTTTTCCGACCAGGGTAATAATTTGTTCTTTCGACAAGGGTATATGGTGATCTTCCACTTTATGACATACTGAACGAATTTCAGAAAGGGGTCACAGTCACATGACTGTGGTTGTGAAGCGCATGAAAGATACTGAGGCAAATATGGAACAGAGCAAGAAGGATATATAAAAAAATGGAGGCCATCAAAGTTGGAAACATCTTCTAGGTGATGGTATTACTGGTATGAATCATGGTAACCACTTCGTTTGTGTAGTTTTTCACTTGACTTAACCATTTAATATCCGAGACAATTAGCTCATGATCCGTATAGACAATTGCCTTACCCGTGGATATCCCAACAATACATTCTTTTAATGACATTCCATCATGTTAGCGTGAAAATAAACTTATTCTTGGCATTAATTCAACACCTTACCTAATGAGTATATATTGTACATCCGTGTTCTTTAGTGAGAAGTAAATGAAGAATGAGCATGAAGCAGTTAGAAACTTTCTTTAATCAGGAGGTCAATGATATGGTTGAGGAATTGGTACGATGTCATTTTCACCTTGGAGAGTCCTTGCATTCCTCTTACATATAGAACAACAACAACAAAGGATGAGCAAGAACTTTTTTTTAGGCAATCACCTTCATTGACTCATCAAACTCGAGAACATGTGCAGGACTAGGTAATTATTTTTTGTAAAATCTCTTATATACTTTTGTGATTGACTACTTGCACTAAAAAATGTGAATTTTACTTAATAAGATAATATTTTATTAATTGATGTTTCTTAATTATATGTTGTTTTTAAAATTTTCAGGTTATCCATGCAAGATTAGGAGAGGTGGGGTAGACCGAGTCTTCTTTTGACGATGATTAGAGATGAAAGAATGTGTCTTCCACAAACTTTTATTTTAATTTGTTATAGATAGTTTCATGTATTTTTCTTTGGAACAATTAGGATATTAACTCTTGTTATTAGTATTGAATATTTGAGGATGGTGGAATTTTATTTATTGATGTTATTAATGAATGGAATTTATATTTTCTCTTTTATTCATTATTGGGTATTTTTAATATATTTGTGTTGTGAATCTTAGTATCAGGTTGAGAATAATATGATAGTTTCCTATGAATGGAAAAACTATTATTAATGTATATTAGAAATTTGTAGTCTACAATGACGGTTTTATAAACCGTATTTTGTTCATCAACGAAGGGAAAGCACCATCGTTAATGGGTTACTAATTATCCATTATGAAGACTTTTACGACGGTATTCAACCGTCATTAATTAGTCTTCAACGACGGGAAAATATCCCCGTAACTAATGGTAACGACGGGAAAATATCCCCGTAATAAATGGTAATGACGGGAAAATATCCCGTCACTGATGGTAACGACGGGAAAATATTCCCGTCACTGATAGTAACGACGGTGATAATTACCGTCATAAATATTAACGACGGTAATATGTTCCGTCGTTATAGACTCTATAACGATGGGTAGTATATCCCGTCGTGACCCTTTAGCGAAGAGGGCTTCAACGACGGGTGACGAAGGGATTTTTTCCCGTCGTTAGCATACAATAACGAAGGTTTTCAGCTCTTTAACGAAGGGAAATCCCTTCGTTAAAGATGTAATTTCTTGTAGTGATTTATATATATCTTATAAAACCTTTAATATGTTATAAAACAAATTTCCAAAAGGTTTACTTTGAAAAATCTCTCAAAAACAAATTTTCCCTTTACCTGTCTCTTTTACCCTCCCTCGGTCGACCGACCCGGTCGACCGACGATCTTTCTGTAATCGATTCGGTCGACCGAGTCGGTCGACCGAAATGAAATACTGCAGCAACTTTGTTTTCTTTATCGGGTTTTTGGTTGTGTTATTGGATTCTGTTTTTAAACCTGAACTCTACATCTCCCTTGATCTATCATCCTCTCAATCCCAGCCGTTGTCTTCTCTCCCAAAACACCCGACCCCTCTTCTTCCTCCTCTTTTTGAAATCGCAGACCTAGGGTTCCAAAATTTTTCGGTCGCCCGTTTGGATTCAACCGCTGCTACTTTCAGTCATTTCTCATCAGTTTTGTGGGTAATTTCTTCCTTTACCTTTTGATTTCTGAGTTCTTATGTCTACTTTCTCATCTAGGGTTTTAGTTTTAGGGCATTTTGTTAATTTGCTCTAAATTTATTTTTGTTTACAGGAAATTGAGAAAATTTCTTCTATCTGTTTAACCCTAACTCATCATGCCTCCCAAACCCCCTAAAAAGAGATCAAAACCAGAGTCGAGTTCCTCATCTATAAAAGCCTCACATTATGAGGATTATCTACTTTTTAAATCTCTTGTTAGGAAATACAGGGAACTGTGCAAATTGAAAATCATTCCTACCAGATATATCAAATATTCTGAGTTATTCATGTATAACACTGAGACTATCCTTCACAATGTTGGGTTAGACAGGTTGCTAGATGAGGGACATAAAGTTCCTTATTATCCATTTCTTGTTTATCTGTTTTATGCGAACTTGTCCACAACATCTTCTGCTGATGGTAGTTTGACCATTACATCATCAGTTAAAAATGTTGAAATTACCTTTTCTGCCAACGAACTTGCGGGGATTCTTAATATATCTTCAAACACTTCAATGTTGATCTTACAAATGAACCCAAGATTGAATCTACGAGAGATTTCTTTGATAAGGTCTCTCTTTCTAGAATGCAGATGGCCCTTGACTCCACTCCTTCATCATCTTCTCACTCCCGTTCTAGAGCCTCAACCTCTTCCACTTCTGATATTTGTGACCGTCTGGATCGCCTTGAGACTCAGTACTCAGGTATTCAGAAGCAAGTCTCATCTATTCAGAAGGATGTTAGGACTATTCTTTCATTTCAGCGTCAGTCTCTCGGGATCCCTTCTAATTCTGAGTCTGATTCTGGTGAGGATTCTGCTGATGGCTCAGGCTCTTCTGATTCTGGTGGTCATGATGATGGTGGTGATGATGGTGGTGATGATGCTGGAGATGACTGATTTGAGTTTCTTTATGTGATGGTTATCTTTGTTTTTGATGTTCTCTTTTGGAGATGACTGATTTGATAACTCTGTTTTATTTGAGTGTAATAACTCTATGATACTTTGTGGAACAAACTATGTATGGTTTTGTGTGATCTTTTATGTAAAATTTACTATCTTGTGAACGAATTCATGTTTTGTGCAAAACTATATTGCTTCTAATGCTTATGTGATATTTTGTGGCCTATTGTGTTTAATTTATTACTTTTATAAATCAATGCATTGTTGAAACAACATTCATAATTTGATGTGTGGTAAATATTAGTTGCCTGTCATGAGTTCTTTGCACTGTTTAGGTTTTGTATATTTATGCAAATCTATGATGCTAAAATGATGTTTTGTAATTACTTATGCCAGTTTATCATGTTATGATCAATGCATGGTTAAGACTATAATCATGTTTTGTTTATAGAATTTGAGTTACTCGTATCATTTTTGCATATGTTTGATGGATAGTTGTTGGTTTAGCTCCTGTATATATGATCAGTAGATGTCATTCAGTCTTTTTGACAGGGGGAGCCTTTGACATATAATTCTTTATTTTTTATCTATGCTTATAAGCAGGGGGTGTAATACCCCAACCCTTGAGAGGGTGATGTAATTAGTATTGATAGATTTGATTGGAATACTCATACCACCAAGATGCATCTTTTTTTCGGGAACCCAACTCTTAGAAACTCCAAAGTTAAGCGTGCTTGGCCTGGAGAAATTCTAGGATGGGTGACCCCCTGGGAAGTTTTCCAGGGAGCGCGTGAGTGAGGACAGGAGAAATTCTAGGATGGGTGACCCCCTGGGAAGTTTTCCAGGGAGCGCGTGAGTGAGGACAAAACGTGCTGAAAAGACATGTAGTGGTTTGTGAGGCCAGTCCATCAGATCTAATAGCGTACCGACTCCGGGATTCCGGGGCGGGACGTTACAGGGGGAGCATTGCTCCTATCTTTCATTTTTCCCTTTTTGATGTTGTCAAAGGGGAAGAAAATACCACATATAGCTTACAAATTGATTCTTTTATATATATATATGGTCTTGTTATGATTTACTCTTGTTTTGGCTTATATGTGGATTATCAGTATATATTTCATATTCATGTATAAATTGTTTGCCATCATCAAAAAGGGAGAGATTGTTGACCCTATAGTTTTGATGATGATTTGACAAACAATTTATTACTAATAAGTTTTCTAGTGTTTTGTGTTTATGTTCTTTTTTCAGGTATTTCAACACGCGTTAATCAAGCGTTAAAGATTCAAGTTCATTTGCGTGGATTTACCTAGGTATATGTTTAGTTTACTTACATATATAGTATGATTATATCTAAGCTCAATATATATACCCTTAACACGATTTTTGACGTTTTCTATCATATAGATGATTTTTCATTAAACGTTGTTAAAATACTTTGTCTCATGTTTACAGCTCCTTCATACTTCACTATATACATATATTATATGCACAATATATATATGAATATTTACAAGTCCTATATCAAAGTTCACTTTCATAAAATTACAGGTTTTCTAAGCCCCTATATCAAAGTTCACTTTCATAAAATTACAGGTTTTCTAAGCATTCTTCAAAAACAGGTAATTTTCACAAACGAAAATTAATTTTCCAGAAATTCTTTTTAAACATGTTTATTTTATCATTTAGAAACTTTCCCCAAAGTTTCATTATTTTTGAACTTGATTTGACATTTTTTTTGGATTTTCAAACTAGTCCCAAAACCTGTATATTTACATATATCAGAATTCGGTCGACCGGTACGGTCGACCGACTGTTGTTCCGTTTCTGAGTAAACTTCCAGAGAGCCCTCCGGTCGACCGGAATTTATATCAGACGACCAAAATTTCCAATTCGGTCTACCGCTTTTTTCGTCGGTCGACCGACAGCTTTAATTCCCCGTTTTCTGAGTTTTTTGAACTAAGCGGTCGACCGGCCTAACGACTAGTTTTTTCAAATGGGTCTTTTGGTCTTTTACCTATTTCTAGCTGTAGTATTGGGGTGCTATATATACCCCATTGCTGCTCTTCCTCATTAAGATCCAAGAAATCCAAGTTTGTTGTTTAACAAGTTATTAATCGCGTATAAGAGCTGTTTAAGAGTTGTTTCATCAATCTATTTTCAAGAGAAGTTTTTCTACAACAAGAAGAGACTTTCAAACCCTATTGGAATCATCATTTCTTCAGCTCTTCTTGTTCATTGAGAAGTTTTCTAAACTCTTTCCTATATAGCTTATTATTTCACTTTCATTTGATTAAGCTATATTCATTGAGTTATATTTATTGAGTTTCATTCACTATTAACACACACTTGTTGAGCTTGATATTCTCATATTATATATTGTGGGTTGTAGTGTGGGATTTAGTGAGTGTGAGCTTTATTGTGTTCTCACTTGTTAATTGAGAACAAATCATTGTATTGAACCTTTATTTGTGAGATTCACTTGTAACACACTTGTACACCGAGAGAAGTGTGAGGAGAGAGAGACGGGGTCAAATCCAATAGGAGTGGCGTCGATTGACGAACCTAGGGAGAGGTTGTAATCGAGCACTTGAGGAGGAGGACACGGGCTAGGTTCCTACACTTAGTGTGTAAAGTGTGATTGTTGAGTGATTGTGTAGTGTGAGAGTTTTCGGTGAACTTGTAAACCGAGTGTGTAGAAGTTCCGGCTTCCAAACCGGATTGTGATAGTGGATATCTCCTCGAGGTGAGGAGCGGGGACGTAGGTCGTGGGGACCGAACCTCGTGAACATATCGTGTGTCTGTGCTTTGATTGTCTCACATATTATTCATCTTTATTGCTCATATTCATATCATATTTATTCTTGCAAGAACAAATTGATCAACATAATTTTAATTGCTATTAATTTGGATTAGATTAGCATAAGACCCTAATCACCCCCCCCCCCTCTAGAA